TCCCTGCACCCCTTGTGCTCACCCCCCATCTCCCTTCCCCCTGTCTGGGGTGTCTTTTATAATCCCATTTGTGAGGGCTCCACTGTCATGACCTAATCACCTCCCAAAGGCCCCACCTCCAAGTCCCATCACATTAGAGATTAGGTTTCAACATATGAATTTTAGGGCAACACAGACATTCAATCGATAGCAATGACTCCATGGAACAGACACTGCTTGCCTTACCCCATTACCACCAACTGAACTTTACATGATCTACTAATAAGAAATAAACTTCGACTGTGTTAAGCCATTGAGATTCTGGGGTTTACCTGTTATTGCAGCTAACAGTTACTTTAACATAGTCAGTGACGTCTAACTTGAATAATAAAATTTAATTTCCACAGAGTACTTGAAGCAAAGCTTGTGAGGAAGGGGAGAGGGAGAGGGCAGCAACCGTGAAATCAAAGATCTCCAGCATGTGTTAGTTCATCAGGCAATCAGTCTTAAGGTCAAGGTGTAGTGTGGACAGCAGTGGCCTCTCTCTCCCCACAGAATACCCTGAGAACAGAAAGTTAGAGTATTCACATTTTATTACTTACAAAACATTACCTCAAAATATAAACTACCTCATGGACCCAAACTCTCTGCAATCACCAGGCAAATAGAAACCTTAATATAATCTGTTTTCTGGAAGAAAATATTAACACGTGTTAAAATCGCCTGCGCAGAGAAGAAATTTTCCCTGGGAGGTGTTCCTGCACTCATTTATAATTAGAAGAGCACTCATCAATAATTAGAAGAGAAATGTTCATGATGTGGGCTGTAAAGAAAGGCCCCTTTTCTCTGCTGGGTGCATGGGACAGGGGGATTTGTTCAGGAGCCAGTCATCTGGAAGCAGGTCAGGCCTCCCAGGGCTCCCAGGGGCTGCTCTGGTGTTTGGAAGGAAGTGGGTGCCAAAGCAGTTAATTTGCTGTATTTTGGCCTTCTTGTTTTAGAGTGATATTTGCAAATACTATCCATTGGGTGATAGTTAATGGATTTATTATTTAGTCTAGGAAGGCGAAGAGAAACTTCCAAACCTCTGGGTTGTGGCGGGAGGAGGAGGAGTGCTCTTAGAGGCAGTACAGGTGTGGTTGCTGACTCCACCTGCCACTTACCTCCAGGACTTAGAAATATCAAGAATCATCACCTATGTTGGGTGGTGGGAGTGGCCCTTGAAATTGTTCTGCAGAAAAACACAGAGGGAGAGGAGCAGATCAGGAAGGCCACTGGTGGGCCAAGGTGAGCCTGGATTCAAAATTCTACAGCCAAGGCTGGTCACGGCCCTACTCACTACTCATCAGAGCTGCTAGTCGGCTTCCTCAAATCCAAGATCAACTGTCCTGGGTGAAGGCACTTTTAGGGTTCTCTGTAGACACACACAGGATGCTAAGAAAGCCAGCTGTGGGCAACACAGAGGTAAGAAAGAGTTGGCCACAGCAAGTCCAATGAGAGAGAGCACAGTGCAATGACAGCAGGCTTTGGAATCCAACAGATCTGGGTTCAAGTCCCAGTTATGCTACACTGCTTATCTGCATCGCCTTGGACAAATTACTTCTCTGGTCCTCCCCAGAGTCACCACCTAGGACGGGGGTAGGAAGGCAGTTACAGGAGCCTTTGCATCCCTGTTAGTGGAACTCAGAGGGATTCCAATGCTCCAGTTATTTGCGCTGTTTCTCTTTGAGTCCCCCTTACTATTTATTTGCAATTCTGGTACATCCTAAAAAAAGATTGCGAATGATTCTATAATCAAATCTTAATTCTCTCTCTGTACAGCAGATTTCCCTGGGCTCCCGGTTGGGGATAGAGTGGCTGGCAGAGGTGAGGCTATGGAACTGGAGAGAAAGTTAGTGGAAAAGAGCAATTGGCAGTGTCCAGGCTGGGGCAGGGGTGCTGAGGTTGGACAGAGGGGCCAGTGGAGGAAGCCATGCTACATAAATGTTTATGCGCCTACATCTTTTGCCTTCTCCAAGCCATATCTCTATTATTTTTGGTTGCTCTATTGATATTTCAAATTTTTAAAGTCCTTCCCTGTCCCAGTGTTTTTATTGTCAGAGGGATCTACCTGGTTCACCTTTGCTTCTGCAGAGATTAAACATTGCCCTTTTGTTTTCAGAAAGAAAGCCGCTCTCAGTGGGTTTCCAAGGTGAATTCTGCAGCTGCATCCGTCCCAAACACAGGGACCTTGAGTGCCTCTGGCGGGGCACACCTGCAGATGCTGGGCCTGGCCTGGACCATTTGGCAGCTCAGCAGTGTACAGTCCTGCTGGATCCTCCTGGCTGCCCCACCCGGGAAGGCCCCAAAGGCTCCCTGGTGCTGAGAGCCGGTGGCAGCCTCTCAGGCAGAATCCGTCAACAACCTTTGCCCTGTCAAATGTTCAGGGCTTGGCCCCATCTGCCCGGGGACTGCCCAACTGCTCAGGAGGGGCTGGGGCTACAGAGGGCCAGTGGGCCTTTGGAAACTGTGGTTCTGGGAGTCCAGGCCTTAGTCTCACTGTGGCCCAGTTCTGGTATTTTCAAGCTTTTCTCCAGCTGGAGATAATGCTAATATCCCACAATTGCAGCTTTTTCGGGGCACTACAAGAATTGAGACTTTCTCTTCAAATAACAACGAGAATTTGTTCTGAGCCTTTGCGATAAGAAAGGAGAAAGAAGATCATTCCTAGAGGCATGAGGAGCAGAAAATCATCTGAACGAGAGGCACAGACTTCTCATTATACATTATTATGCTTTCAAATGAGCATTTCTGCAAGCCTATTCTCTAGTATAAAATATAGTGACTCTTAAGCCTTAGATTATCTCAGCCATGTCTTGTTTTAGGAGGAAGAATCCGATCTGGGGAAGCTGGTGGGTGAGCTCTTTTGTCCCAGGGCCTAGCCTGCAAGCTGCTCCCTTGATGTGCATCATGATGCTGAGTTTTGCCAAAGGCTGTCTTTTGGGGGGAATGTGAGAGGAGAATCGCTTATAAGGAGTGATCCCTACTGATTTAGTAATTACCCCCCACCCCAAAATGAAAAAGCCAGGACAGATGCCCTGTACTAAAATCCCTGCGGAATGTGATGGTATAGTGAGTTTCTCACTATCCTTTGAACGATGCAAATACTTCTTCCATGAGACAATTGCAAAGTGAGAATTGCAGGACTCCAAAGATAAATTTTAGTGATTCCCTCCTCCCGTTTTATTAACTAAAAACAATAAAACAAAACTTAGACCGCTTAGGAGCAGCATTTAATACACAGAGAAAGACAAAAGAAGCAGGAACTGACTATATCCTGCAAGTTTAGAGGCTTAGTGAGGAATCAACACTTATTTACAGAAAGTATGTTTGAATGGAGCTCTGGAGGACCTGTGGAGAGGTGAAGGGAGTGAGTGTGTGATTGGGCAGCCACTGAGCTTGGTGGTTAAATGAATAGACTCTGGATTATTCCGAGCTCAGCAACCCATTCCGCTGGGTGACCCTGGGCAAGCTACAGACCCTGAGGGGGCTACTGTGTTTGTAAAGCAAATGAGCCCAGGGCTGGGTCCACAGGGACCTCTGGTTACTCTTGTTATTGTGAGGTGGCCTTGTGGCTGTACCTGCACCAGTATATAGAAGAAATTTTGATATCTTCATAAATTTGGAAAAATGTGGGGAAACAATCTCTTTGTCTCTCATTTCTCTTTTCCTTTCTCTTCCTCACTTTCCTCTGCTGCTTCTTTCTCTCCTTTCTACCCCGAGTCTTGGCACTTCTCTCCTCCCCTCTCAGAGCTGAAGCTTCAGCAAGAGGTGCCTGCTTCTAGAGAAGAGGAGGCCTCTCTGGGTCGCCTTGCAGCGGCAGTGTCAGGGTCTCCTCCTCTCTCAGCTGCTTCCAGGTTGAGCCACCCAGTGACCGGGTCCAGCCTGGTTCTCATTCTCACCCTTTCTTGCTCGAGTAGCATACACCTCCTGTGCTGTTCCTCCTATACCTAATAACAAGCATGTCAAAACTGAGTCCACTCTCTTCCTTACACATACAGTGAGCCTGTTGGCTTCTCTCTCCCAAATTCCCGGTTCTCCAAGCTGAGAATCCTTTACCTTCTGTCTCTCACCTTACTGTCCACTTTGCAGACTTGGCCCTAATCCTTGACTCCTTGGGTATCTTAGGCATCTCCTTGGCCTCTGGCCTCAGCAACCCTACCCCTCTCCTCCATTTCTATCCTTTCAAAGCAGCAGAAATTGTATCACTCTCTTAATTGGAATCCTATGACATTGTCAAATATCTTCTCCTTTAAAAAAAAGCGTCATTCATGTCATTTATCCTGTGAAAAAGAATCACATCCACAGAAAGAAAGTAGTGTTCAGTTGCAGCCTGTTTGCAAAGCCCCACACATACTCCTTGAATCACAGAGAATGTCCTCATCATCAACTTTAAATCACTCCACGTCCCCCCTGCCCAACTTGAGAGCTTCCCACCTACCATTCCATAGTTTTCCTGTCAGACCTGTCTCCAGATTCCCCGTTCCTCAAAATGGCTGACTGTAAGCTTTGTTCCGTGCTCAGATAAGCTGGTCTGGGCCAGGATGGACCTGGTCCTCTTTAATGCCCAGATTAGATATCTGCCTGGTAAATGCACTGAGAGGCACACAGCTACTTGGGAGGAGGCAGAAAGGCTGGATTCAGTTGTGTCTTAATGGTGATGACCTTTGGTTTACACCTCTTTTTTTTCCTAATGGTTTTGGTCAACCAAACAAGTAAGGGCTCACCCTTCTCAAATTCGAAGAAGGTCTAATTATTTGCTTTGTTCAGTTGGTGAGTGCGTGTGTGTCTGTGTTTGGCGGTTTGACGTGCTTTCTCTTTGTACTAAAACTCTCTCCCTCACAGCCACATGACGGATGATGATGGCTTTTTGTGGTGCCTAATACATTGCTCTCCACTCAATGAATATTGTTACCTGACTCCCATTCCAACCCCAGGGGTATCTGGATTTACAGAGGAATAGAACCTTCTTACAAAATCTGGAGTATGATTGCAATTTTACTTTTGAAGCACCCGCTTCCCAGAGGAATAGCCATTGATTGATGCCACTGTCAGAAACCCAGATGCACACACTCATACATCAGCCTGGAAATTACAGAAACAGCTCACCCAGCAGGCTGGTGCTGACTCACCCACTTGCGCCCCTATGGGAAGAGAGGTGATGGGAAACCCAGGGCAATAGCAGGGAGCAGACAAAGAAGTGGAGTTAGAAGAAGACTGAGCTCTCGTAGGTCCACCGCGTTTTTTCCTCGCTCATATTCCACTGGGGACAGCAGCCACAGGCTAAGATCTGTAGTTATATTGCTGTGACCAGGATCATGGGGAGTTGTTTCCTTTGTCCTGGGAGTGCACTGTCAGCTTGTCTTCATGGTGCATGTATAAGGATATACACAGCTCTACACACATATCTTCATCCTTACAGGTACAGATCATGTCTACATTTTCCTTTGGGGTGGATGTGACCTACCTAGGCTAACGTTTGACATTTATCTCTTTGGAGAGCAAATCTATGTCGATTCCAGCAGGATGGGGGCAGCAGAGGCTGCTTTGTTGCTAAGAAGATGTCTGAAAAATAAGGTTACAATTAGGGTAGAAGAGTGGAAAGCAGTCCAGCAGGCACGCTGGCACCTTGTGAGTGTGAGGGTGGCTTATCGGTAGCGGCAGGCCAAAGCATTGACATTCTTGACCACATAAAAGCCCATGGTGACTGGAGGGATGACCAATGTCCGGCCGGCCCGCAGGGGGCGGGGCTTCAATTCTGGAAGGGTCCCATCATCCACCATCACTAAGAGCTGGCCGTTCAGCTGCACTGACCTGCAGTGAGGAAAAATAGCATGCAACTTGTTATTGTGTTACAAGAGAGCCATCGCAACTAAGCTGGGGTGGCCCCAGATGGCCTGATCTGTGCCCAGCTATCACTTATTGACGCTTGCTGTGCCCAAGCTCTCACCAGGTGCCTTCCTTTAATAACGCATTCAAACATCTCAACACACTCAGAGGAAGAAACCGTCATTATCCCCATTCTACCTAGAGTGGTTACATGACTCACCCAAGGTCATACAGCTTATAGGTCTGGGAGCCAGGATGTGAACACAGGTAGTCTAGGTCAACAGACCCATCATATAGACAAGTGGAAAGTCTCTGTGATGCAGAAGCTGAAAAGAGTCTCATGTCCACTTTTTTAAAAAATCATAATAGCACTTTAGATTGACTTTCTACCTAAAGAGTTTTTACCTGTGGAATGATGCATAGGCTTAAGATATTTTAGAAATCTCCTATTGAACTCGTATCTTTCATTAATTTATCTGACAGATTAAAGAACTGACATCATGTTGCTTGTTGAGGGCTGTTCTGAAGGAGGACAGAGATGTATCTAACGACTTTACTTTTTCTAACCTAAGAATGAATTTCCATATCTAATAATTAACAGATGTTTCCATTTTAGCAACACAATGAAGTAGGTGATAAAATAAGGCATCTGTGATCACAATTCACCTATCTTGCTTGCTTTTATTCTTCCTGTGTACCAGCCGTCTCCAACCCTGAGAAGGGGCCACATATGGAGCACCCTCAGAGGAAAAGGGAAACAGCTCATTGCTCATCCTTGGCCTGTGGTACAGAATCCAGACAACTTCCCAGCTGCTCCAGACTAGGGAGGGATCGTACAGCCATGTACCCAGCTTGAAGCTCAGCTTTATGGGTCAGCAGAAAAGGCCAGAACCAGGCCACCAGCTGGAAACAAAACTGTGAGTCACCGTAAGAAAATCAACATTGCGTAGTGATCACTGTTTCTGAGCCTTGCCCAACCTCCATGTGATAACATTGTAGTGATATTATCTGAGCTGTAAAGAGAATAAAATGTTAGAAATTGATATAGAGGTCTTTGTTTGGTGTTCCTTCTGTGCTGTGAATGATAGGTTTAGAGAGAGATAATCAGACCCATGCCCAATAGAGCAGTGAATTCCCAGAGAGAAGTGTGTTGTAAATTGCTCCCAATGGAGAGCTTGGCAGAGAAGCAGCTCCAGGCCTGGGCCCACATGGATAGGTTTGGGCCCAGTCCAGATCTGACAAGCCAGAGGGGCAGCCCCCCTTCTCTTGGGTATGACTGAAGAATGAATGAACTGAGCGAGCAGGGGACTCCTGTATGGAGAGCCAAGCCTGCTTCTGGAAGGTGTAAGGTGGGAGAATTGAGATCTGAAGATCAGTGTTGACCTCATCAAATATGCAAGGAGCTTTTGCTTTAAATTCAAGTAATCTTCTCTGGTGAAGACAGCCTACTCGTTGGAGTGGGAGGCAGGGTGAGGAGAGGGGGTTCAGTTCCAAAAAAACGCCCAGACAGGTCTTCATAATGTATTTTCATTATTTTGTTTCAGGTGGTATGAATATCCAACAACCATATATGCACTGTCAAATACAAGTTCAATAATACAATTAATATTTCCAAGGCATATTCACTTCTCTACTTGAAAACCTTCAATGATTCCTCTTATATACAGAATTAGGTGCAAGCCGCACCCCGCCCTCCCCCCCAGGAATTAGGTAATGCTCTTTTAGATTCAGATGACCCCAGGGTATGGATATCTTTGGGTTCTGGGAAGCGCAAAACAAAGTTTTTGCTTTTAATTTCCATACTAATAACAAGTAGTTATTCTGGAACAGGCCCCATTCTGATTTCATTATTGGTTGGTTAAAAAGCTAACTTGGAAACAGGGAGCATGGTCAAGATTCTGGACTGATCTCTAATTTCAGGAGCCCGGCCACTAACTTGCTAGGTGGCTCTGGCCAATCTCTTAACCTCACTGCCTGCAGTTTTTGCATCTGTAAGAATGCTATATAGGCTCTAGTGTGAATGAAATGAAATAAAAAATATGAAAGTGCTCTGAAAGCATAATGAGCCATATAAGTGGGAGATGGTGTTTTTTTGTTGTTATTCTTTCCATTGTCGTTATGGGTAGATAAACTTTTGGTCTTTGTACTTGACTGCTCTGTGGCACTAAGTTTCACGGCTCCCTTCTTAAAGCCCTCTCTTCCCTTGGCTCCCATGGTGTCTCTCTCTCTCCCTCTCTCTGCCTCAGTTTTCCTCCTTTATTTCAGCATGTTGTTTCCATTTCAGGGGGACTGTTCCCTTCTACCTGCCTCTCAGATGCTGAGGTCCTGGTGCTTTGTCCTTGGACCTCTTCTCTTCCCACACTGCGTGCTCCCCCTGGGTGCTGTTACCCACACCCAGGACTTTGATTGCTATCCACCTTTCCATGCTTCCCAAACCTGTCTGTCTGTCCCAGATCATTCTTCTGCCTTATGTATCTCCACTTGGCTGTCCCACAGGAACTTCAAAGTCACTATATCCAGAGTCAAAATCGTCTACTCAAACTCTGTCCTTCTCTCTGCCTTTTTATCCACTATTTATCCGATTACCTAAGCCAGAAAGCTGGGAGTCATCTGAGACTTCTCTCCCAGTTCCCATGTCTAGGGTCACAAGTCCAATCAATTCTACCTTTTAATATTTTTGAAATCTGCTCCTTTCTCTCCATTCACTGCTATTATTTTATTTCAGACCACCCTCCTCCACCCTGCTTTCCATATTGCTGACCGAGCCTCTGTTGCTGTCACTGCTTCAAACTCTCCAACACTCCTCATCCCTTCCTGTATAATACAGACGATGAAGCCTAGCTCAACTACCTGTCTAGTCTCAGATCCTGCCAGTACCCTTACTCCAGTGCTAACTAACTGTGCATCACAGACCTCTGGGGGTGGGGGTGGGATGAATCAGCAGTTATTGTAAGGATTTCATCAATAGATGCATGAACAAAGATTGTTTTACAATGAAAAACTAGTAAGTCTTGCACATAGATGAGGTAAATATTTCTCAAATGAAAATGTAAGTAGATACTGTTGGGATTAAAATACACAAGTTCATTTAAAAGTACAGTAAATATTTTTCAAATGTAAATGCCAGTAGACACTGTTGGGATTAATAAGACATAACCTGATTTAAAACTGTTATAAAATTCCTAATAGATTTTTTGGGAGGATGAGGGCATCATGTGTTTTTTTTTAAGCAAGAGATTTTAAAAGGACAATTACTATAATGTGGGAGGGCCATGACATTTGTTGACATTACAAAGGAACCCTTGTACTTGAAGAGGCCAGCACCCTTGCCCCAGTGTGACCAAATTAAATGACCTGCAGTTCAGCTTCTGGGTCGCTGCATACGATGCTCACTCCACCTAGAACACAGCCAGCCCTCCTCCTCTGTCAGACTAACTGCCTCGGGTCCTTGTGGAGCCTGCTCAGGTGTGGCCCCCTCTGGGGAACCTTCTCTGACCCCTGGGTTAGGGGGAGCCCCACCTCTGTGCTCTCTTGTACCCAAAACGTACCTATAACCACCTCACTGAACTGTAGTGATTTACCTGCTCTGTCCCTCACTGGACTGTGAGCTTGATGCAAAAAGGATTGTGTCTTTTGTCCCTAAATCCAGTGCCTAAGAGATATTTGGCACAGAGTGGGGATGAAATATTTTCTGAACAAGCAAATAGACTTTTGAGGCTCTTTTGCATTATTTCTGGTCTTCCTGGGTTGAGTTTCTCCAGCTCTAAAGAGGATCCCTGGAGGCTCACCGAGTGTCTTTACAGATTTCATTAACGTACCAATTACTCTTGCTCCCAGTGGCTCTGGAGATGTTAGATAAGACCTGAATTATCGCTGCTTCTCAGTCACTCACTAGATACCTTATCCCAACCTGACAGGAGGCCATTGATCATTGCCAGTGTTTTTCATCCTTAAAAAAGATCTATATGACCATCTCTTAGCTAAGCCAACATGAGTTACTTCTGTGAGAACCTGAGTCCTCATACATCCTTATCTACAAAGTCCCTTCATTATAAAGATGGACTGTGTGCTTTACCATCTCCATTCTATTTTTCCTGCTTACATTTTTCTTTTAATATTTATCCTGTTACCCAGTGACATCATATTACGCTAAATATTACAATAATCTTTCATTTTTATGCATTGAACAATTTATAAGTTTGCAAACATAGTCATGTTAATGATAAAAAATCACTGATTATTGAACACTGTCTATGCACAAGGCACCATGCTATTATTTATCTTGACTGTTACATTTAGTCCTTACAGCTACCAACTGAGGCAGGTGTTAGCATCCCAATATTACAGATGAGGAAATCAAAGGTCAGAGGGGTCTAAAACTCACCCAAGCTGCACAGTAAGTGGTAGAGCTGAGATTTGCACTGCTGCCCTTCACCATAGTCCTATCTGGCCTTCCTTGTGATTGCTAAAGAGCCCTGTGAGGTACACAGCGCAAGTATTATTACTATTATTGTAACTTTACTATTGAGATGAGGTCAGAGAGGTTAAGTGGTGTGCACAAGGTCATATAGCTAATAGGTGGCTAAGCTAGGTCTCAAATTCAGGCCTCCTGACACCTCTTTCTACAATTTCATATTGTTCTCCAATTCCAGATGGCAATCACCAGGATTGTGTTTCTTTCTTTGAAAACCTTTCTTATCATATTTTTATCATATTCTGGGACCTCCTTACTGGCCCATGACTTTTCAAACCAAACGCTAAATGATCCAGTCTATGTTGAACTATTTCTTTTAATTCCCTAGCTGCTGAGGGCATTTAAATTATCCAAATATTAAGACAACTGCATTTTATCGCCATCTGTTTTTACAAAGTCTGAGTTACTTTGCAATTCCTAAACTTGTTTTCTTTATTTTGCATGCTATTTGAAATGGATTCAATGTCTCAATTTGGAGTCAAGCCCTCTGCTCCCCAGGTCTCAGTGGGAG